CTCTCAGGGATGTGTCTCTCAGGGATGTTCCTCCCAGGGATGATCCTCCCAGGGATGTGTCTCTCAGGGATGTGTCTCTCAGGGATGTGTCTCTCTTTCAGGTCCTGTTCCGGGACCCAGCGCAGGACCCAGCTGAGGATGTGTTCCTGACGGAGCTGCTGACCCAGGTGCAGGACAGTCCCTCCCACAGAGGTGTGTGTGTCCCACCAGCCCCAGCCTGGACAGGGCTCCTGCCATCCCCGCATCCCACCCATGCCATCCCTTAGCCTGCAGAGCTCCAGGCCATGGGCAATATTCCTTGTTCCTGACCAGACTTCCCTAAACATGTCCCTCCTGGGCCCAGGAAATCAGGCTGAACTCAAGCCCTGGTGGCTGCTGGTTCCTGGGCTCGGCCAGGGTTGGTGGTCTGTGCCTTTGGTTGGCTCCAGGGCACTCGGGAGTTGGGCCAGAGTCCTGATTTAGTTGAGGAGACAAGCTGGGCTTCCCTTAGAAATCCAGTTCCTTAAGTTGCCAGAGATGGAACAAGAGCACTTGAAGGCTGGACTGTTCAGAAACCCTGTCCAGCTCCTCCATCAGTGCACTCTGCTGTCCAATCCAATGGATATTTGTCCCTGGGGCTGGGCACAGAGGCTGCAATGAGCCCGTCCCACTGGCACAGAGCCTCAGTTCCCAAGGCAGGGACAGAGGGGACAAAATGAGACAGAAGGCCATTGTGTGACACTGGGGTGGCTCAGCCCATGACAGGATCCCTCTCTGCTGACCACAGACAGGTGGGATGAGGGAAATTCAATCCCACCCGGTTCCCTTCTCGCAGAGCTGAACACGACCAAGAAGAAAAGCAGCCTGGATGGCCCTGGCATCGATATCACAGTGACCTACAGGAAGGTGAGGGGGGCTCCTGCACCCCAAATGTCTCTGTTCCCAGGGATGCCCAGCAGGGCACAGATCTCCTAAAAGGAGTCCCTCTTTGTCTGGAATTGCTCTCCAGCCATGGACAGAGAGGCTGTGGTGAACTTCTTAGCTCACCCTGTATTTGTGACAAAGTGTCCCCAGCCCCCTGCCAGGGGCACTGCCAGGACACTGCCGCTTGCCCGCAGGTTGTGCTGAGTGACCGTCAGAAGGAGCTGGCCCTGTCCCTGCGCTCCACGGGCCTGCTGATGAAAGCCATCCCTGCTGAGGAGGCTGAAGGTGGGTTCCTCCTGCTTTGCTGAGGTTTCTGGTGCTCCGTGCAGTAAATCTGGCTACAGCCCTTGATGCCAGCTGTGTCTGGGCTGTGGAGTGGGATCAGTGACAGGAATATTGGTGTCCCCATGGTTTGGTTGGGGCTTTCTCAGGAATGATGTGTCTGAGGCTCAGACAGGATTTAAGCATCTGCCCTCTGCTCCAGCCTTTTTCCTTCAAAGCACAGCCTCTGAGCTCTCCACCCCGAGCATGATCCCATACAATTCCTTTGCCTATGGAATCCTATGTGTCCATAGTCAGTGCAGCCAGACGTGGGGCTGAGCTGAGGCAGTTCTGTGGCCTCAGACCAACCCTCTGCTTGTGTCACAGACCTGGGCTGTCTGAGTGTGACCATCACCGAAATCATCAGGATCAACAACTTGGCAGGACGGTCATTCTCTGTGAGTACCCGTGGGATCCTCAGGGGCCAAAGTCCCTTAGAACAGAGGGGAAAGGGGCAGCCCTGCAGGGAGGAGAAGGCTTTGGGACCACCTGCTCGGAGGGCATTTTGTAATTATTATCCATGGAAAAGTCTGGATGTTTGAGCCAAAACCCCAGATGCCATCCCTGCTGGTCAGTGCCATCTCTGCTGCTTAGTGCCACTCCTGCTGGTCAGTGCCCTCCCTGCTGTTCAGTGCCATCCCTGCTGGTCAGTGCCACTCCTGCTGGTCAGTGCCCTCCCTGCTGCTCAGTGCCATCCCTGCTGGTCAGTGCCACACTGAATCCTGCCTCAGGAGCCCCTGAATGCCTGAGCTGCTGCTGGGGTTATTCTGTGACCACAGGGACAAAGTGGAGGAAAAAATCTTGGCCCCACTTGGCTCCAGGGCAGGCACTATATTCTGCCATCAACTCCATCAGTTCCACACCTTCAGCTGCAGTAGTCTCCCTGTCTTATTCCTCTCAGAATCACAAAAAATAATTCAACAAAGCATAAACAAGGAGCAGGAATTTCACTGAATCTATTTATCAGCTCACAGAGATGAATTTGTTAGAGTGGGGACGGAAATGTTGACTTCTGTCCTTTTTGTTTTACTTGAGAGCTCCAGTAGACCCCAGAGGAGGCATGTGCCCGTGGTAATGTACCACTGCAGTTTGGGTGGCATTAAACATTAGTGTGCCTCGGTCATTTGGACCTCAGGGCTGGCTCCAAGCTGGTGGTTTTAGCCAGCACATTCTGCTCATTTTCACCTGGCTTTTGGGAATACCGAGGTGCTGCAGCCCCACTGCCCACAGAGACACTCCATGGCCATGGAGAAGAGACCACGCCCCAGGAAATATCCCAAACTCACAGCAGGGACTGTTCAGGGACTGCCAGTTTGGAAAGTCTGTCCTTTCAAAACATGGCCAGGTTCTGAATTCTGAGAAAGGATTTGCTTTGTGTCACATCGGAGGTTAAGAAAGAAAACCAGAGAAATGTCATTTTCTGTCCCTGTCACACGCGGCACACAGCCCGGGAAGGAGAGGGACACCCTCAGCAGGCTTCCCCTTCTCTCCTCATCCAGGCTGTGACAAACAGATTCAAAACACGGAATATCAAGATCAGGAGCCCAGATCAGAGACCCTTCACAGTGCGACTGGACAAGGACAGCAGGAGAACCTACAGGGACGTGATCAGGTGAGAATCCTGGGGTGCCAGGCTCTGCACATCTGCCTTGCATCCCCTCCTGCCTTCCAGGGAGCCCTGATCCTCATCCAAGACAAAAACCCCACGTTCCTTCTCCAGGGAAAGCAGGGCTCCCCCACATTTGTGTTTTCGGGTGATGGTGTGAGGAATAAAATGGTTCTTTACACAAAAGTTGCTGTCATTGAGCCAGTAAAAAAACAGACACCTCCAGGGACAAACAGAGTTTAAGTCTTCTGAATTATCAATTATATCATGATGCTGATGCTCTCTGCACTGACTGCATCCCTCGCCTGGGAGTCTCCAGCAGGTGCAGGTGAGGGAGAGGACCCAGCCCTGTGGGAATAATGTGCCTGGAGCAGCTGCAGTGACATGGGATGAGCATGGTTCAAGGTCCAGTATAAACTATGAATTCCTGAGTCACACTGAGCCAGGCTCAGCACCTTGGGTTTGTGTCAAACACACACAACAGCTCATCTCTGCAGTCAAACCCAGCTGGAAAAAGCATAAAAGCAGCTGCGCCCCGCAGTGGGAGAGCCCTCCCCCAGCAGGCAGTGCAGAGAGGTGGGGTTTGTTCGGAGATCAGGTCTGAACATGCAGTAAATGTGTTCTGTGCTCTTCCAGCCTGGAGGTGTCTCCCTGCCTCGAGCCCAGCTACTGCCTGCAGAAGACCAGGACCATGAAATTCAGTCCTCACGAAACAGAAGACGTGGGGCTTGTCAAGTACCTGCCCAAATCTCTGCTACTGCCCATCAACACTTTTGCTGGAGTCATGCAGTGAAGGAAACGGGAAAAGGCAGTGTGAGTTATGACGTGGGGTCAGCACAGAGGACATGGGAAAAGAAAACATACTAAAAGCGACCCGCGGTGACTTTAAATGGCAATGGTGTGGAAGAGCTGCCCCAGCAGAGGTGGATAGGCTCGGAGGGCACAGCCATGCCCTGCCAGTGACAGTGTGACCATGGCTGACAGCCCTGCCAAGGGCACAGCCATGCTGCAGGACTCAGCTTTCACCTCTAGCACAAGTCAGGGAAAGGCTTTGAGCTCCTCCATTCAGGAAGAGTGAGGAAGATCCGTGGCAGGTGGTGCTGGCTGTCCTGTGGAGCCCGGGGAGCTGGCAGCAGCAATATTTATTTTGGAGATGTCTCACAGCCCAGCAAGGATCAGGTTTTCACCTCACTACCCAAATATTTTAGGTGCTCACCTGTGCCAGACTTGGGCAGCAAACATTCTGTCCCTGAAGGGAGGCAGGAGGGTCACAGGCACATCAGGAAACTCCTGCACAAGCAGCTGTTGTTGGGATAATGGGGGGTTTAAGGGGTGAACAGTGGCTCTGCACCCCTTTGCCTCTTCAGGGCTTCTCTGTGAGGTTTGTGCACACCAAGAAAATGCTCAAAAAGCTAAAAGGCTTTGAGGTGGGCTGGAGTGTGGGCTGTGTGTCTGAGTTTGTTCTGTACAGCTGTAAATGATGTAGATGGATGATAAATTATTTGTATAGGTGTCATGGATGACTTATACCAGAGGGTGCAATCTTTTTAATGCCAATTGAAAGAAATTAAGACAAACCCAAGCTGAAACTGCCAGTTGGTTGTCATCGTGTGTTTGCACAATGCTGGGGAACAGATGCCCAGGAATTCCACCTGAACATGGGATTTATTTCTTCCCTGTGCAGTGACCACCCCTGAACAAATTGTCCAGAGAGAGTGAGGAGTGTCCACACGAGGGATATTCCAGAATATTCCACCTGGACACAATCCCGTTCCATGTGGTTCCTGTCTGTGTCCTCTGTGGCCCGGCGGACCGGGATGAGGGCGAGTCCGGGGCTGGTCCCCTCCGAGCCCAGCGGAGCCGCAGCCGCCGCTCCCCGGCTCGCGCGGGGCCGTTGGACCGATGATCGCTGCAGCTCCTTCCAGCCCGAGCCATCCCGGGATCCTGTGGGACAGGGACGCACCGGGCCATTCCCGTGTCTGTACCGGGCCATTCCCGTGTCCATACTGGGCCATTCCCATGTCAGTCTCGGGCCATTTCCATGCCAGTCCCGTGCTATTCCCGTGCTGGCCCCAGGCCATTCCCATGCCGGTCCGTCCCGTGTCTGTATTGGGCCATTCCTGTTCCGGTTTCGGGTCATTCCCGTGCCGGTCCCGGGCCGTTCCGCTCCCAGGCCATTCCCATCTATACTGGGCCATTTCCGTGCTGGTCCCGGGCCATTCCCCTGCCGGTCTGCAGAAGGCGCTGCGCCTCCGCCATCCCCCGGGGCGGGGCAGGTGCGCTTGGGCCGGAGCCGCGCCGGGGCCGCCCCGGTACCGCAGGTGCGGCCGCTCCGCCCAGAGCGGGGCCGGCGGGGCCAGCGGCGGTGGCGACAGCGGGTGAGGACATGCGGCGGGGGCCATGAGCGAGCGCTGGGACGTGGGCCGGACCCTGGCTCTGGCCGCGCTGTTCCGGCTGCTGCAGGGCGCGGGCCGGGGCTGCGCCGCGCCCTTCCTGCCGCTCTACCTGCGGCTGCTCGGGCTGCCCGCGCCGCTCGTGGGGGCCGCGGCCGGGGCCCGGCAGCTGGCGGCGCTCGCCGTGCCCCTGTGCTGCCCGCGGGGCCGCGCCGGGCGGCTGCTGCTGGCGGGCTCGGTGCTGGGCTCGGCCGGGGCCAGCCTGGCTCTCACCCTCATCCCGCCCGCGGGGGGCACGGGGCACACGGGCTGCGACAGCAGCCTGCGGCTCGGCCTGCCCGGCTCCCTGCCCTCCCCGCTGCCCTCTGTGCTCCCTTCCACTCTGCTCGTTCCGGTGCCCACCGCAATGCCCGACCCGAGGACCGTCCCGGTGCCCAGCCCCGGCTGGAGCAGTTACGGAGCATTAAACTCGAGCGCTCTGACGCACACGACAGCCGTGCCAAGGGGAACGGGGACAACAGCAGCTGACGTGCTGGCAGCGAGCAGGAAGCCCGCTGTGGGCAGTTCAACCTCCCAGGGGTTCTTGGGCACGACAGGTGCGCGTCAGGAACGCGGCAGAGGGGTTGGGGAAGGTGATCCAAAGGGAAAAGGCTTCTTGGATGCTCCTTCTGGCTGGACAGCGAAAGGCATCGATCAGCAGACACCCGAACCAGAAAGGCCGGCATCCTACGGACCTCCCTTCCCTGGGCTCCAGGGGGAAACTCCGGGCTCTGCTGCAACCGATCTAAGTGATAATGCTGAGGAAAGCCTAAATGTTACTGGGAGTAATGAGCCAGCTTTGCTTAAAACAGCTCTTCCCGCTCTTGGAGATGCCCACGTATCCGAAAACCTTCCAGAATCTCGAGATGTCAACTTCGAGGCAGTGCAGAGCATCTCCCAGAACGGAGAGTACCAGGTTTTTCTCATGGTGCTGGGCGCCGTGGTGCTTTGGGAGCTGCTGGCCGTTTCTCTGGAATGGAGCATGGATGAGAGTGTCTACGAGTACCTGGACTTTGTGGACTCCACGGACAGGTACGGGCGGCTGTGGCTGTGGGGCTCAGCAGGCGCTGCCGCCGGAGCGTGCGGCGTGTCCGTGCTGGTGGATCAGCTGGATTGCTCCCTCGGCGGCTCCATCCCCCGCCTCGCCGTGCACTTCTACGGCTACGCTGTCCTGGTAATGCTCTCCCTGATGGTCAGCGTCTTCTTTCCCGGCCACATTCCCAGGAAAAGCGCCCGTGCTCCCGGGCTGACCAAAGCGCTGTCCCTGCTGCGGGGGGACAGCCGGGCCCTGCTGTTCGCGGGCACCGTGTTCCTCGTGGGTGCTGCCAGCTCTGCCGGGCACAACTTCCTCCTGTGGCAGCTGCAGGACCAGGGCAGCAGCGAGCTCCTTATGGGGCTCTGGGTGGCTGGGGGCCCGCTGGCAGAGCTGGCCCTTCACCCGCTCCGGGGGCAGCTGCTGCGGGCGCTGCCGGGCTGCAGGCTGGAGCTGCTGAGCCTGGCCGTGCTGGCAGCGCAGCTCCTGAGCTATTCCCTGCTCCGCGCTCCGTGGGCAGCGCTCCCCGTGCAGGCGCTGTCCGGCCTCAGCAGCGGGGCGCTGCGGTGGCGGCTGCAGGGGACAGTGGGGGACATCGCTACGCCGGGCACGGAGCGCGCCCTGCACGCCCTTCTCCGGTCGCTCTGCGCGGCAGGAGCCGGCCTGGGCGGCTTTTCGGGGGGGTTTGTGGTGCAGCGCTTCGGTCTGGCAGTGCTGTTCCAGGCCAGCTGCGTGGGGCTCGGGCTCTGGATGCTCTTCGTCGTAATTGTCCAATCCAGATTGCCCCGGCAGAGGAAAATTAATTATTCCCGGCTCCTGGCTGCTGATTCCAGTGAAATGAGTGACTCTGAGGAGGAGAACGAGAAGGACTGGCTGGTAAAGGCTATGAAGGATGAGGGCTTTAACAGGAATTGGATACAGCAGCATGGGATCCAGTAATCTGCACCTAACTCTGTGTGGTGGAAAGGGAACCTGGTATAATGATAATATCCAGAAATCACTGGCAGTTCTAAAGTGCTAAATATATACAGGCTATAACTGACAGGAGAGATTTTTATTTAAAAAAACCAAAACAAACAAACTTATAAATCTTATTTTCTTACTTTATAGCATTCTACCTTTTTTGTAATATTTCCTTTTTTAACTTGATGATTTTGCTTCCAAAATCCTAAAAGGATATCTCGGGTGTACATTGGTTAAGTTAATGTAGCTGAGTTTTTAGTAAAAAACCAAATTTGCATTGTTGCTGCCCGAGCTGCTGCTGAGGCTGTGGGTGACAGTTGTGATCCGGGCTGTGACACAACCAAATGGAAATTATTGACATGCTGACAGCACACAGAACTCTTCCAAGGCGGCTGTGAACTCTTTGCACTTTATAAGGGATGCGAATAAAAAATTAGCTCATTTGTAAAAGACGGTTTTGCTGCAGACTCTCTGCCGTGTCGTGTTCTAGGATTTCAGTGAGCTCCTGCTTGGAATCTGCTGGGAAAACCCTCCCGGTGTGCTCAGAGCCAGCGGCTGGCCCGGCCCACCTGGGCATTTCCTGGTGGTGATTTAAAGTGTCCCCGGCATTCCAGGTGACATTCCAGGAAGCAGCCGAGCCTCCCGACTGGTGTCCCTTCTGTGAGCTGGGAATTTTCGGAGGGCGGGATGGGATATCCGTCCAGGCTGGCACTCCTGGAAGCTGATCCTGCCTGGGGCACTTGGATCCTGAGCAGGGCTGCTCCCAGGCAGGGACAGCCACAACTCCAGAAAGAGAAAGGGGAGTTTGTGTCTGTCCCTCACTAACCAGGGGACCCCAAAGTAACACCTGGGCAGAGGTGCACAAGCAGAGAGCAGCGCTCAGTCCATGCCAAAGGATCTCCTGCACACTGAGTTGTTCCGACGTTATTCCCAGCTGGAAGTTACTGGTTTCCAGCCTTTCTCTTTTAACCCATTCCTGGGTTAAACCTCCTTACCTGCCCTGCCTTCACCTCCAAGCACAGATTCCATCCCCTCTCCAGGAGGTAAGTTTTGTTTATCAATGAAAGATCGGTGGTGCGATGTCATCAAAAGATTTTAAATTGAGTTTAAGCGAGCCTTAGAGTGCCTTCAGCCACCAGCAAAGGCTGCTGTCAGTTATCAGGTACTCCTTGGTCAGGGAATAGCATCATTCCTGTGCAGAGGGATGGATTTTAGTAACATCTGCCTGAGAGGCTCGCAAGCCCCGAGACAGGCAGCTGCAAAAGCAGAATATTTATGGAAATGCATATTTAATATGGCATATGCAAATAGCCTGGCAGTGTGTCACCCTGCCGTGTTGTGGGCTCGGCAGGAAGCGCTGGAGACAAGGAAAGGACTCCTGGGCGATAATTCTTTTCTGTGTATGCATCGATCCCGCATTATCTGCACATCAGATGCTTTCAGGGTAATTAGCTCCCTCTCTTCCTGGCACCGATCCTCAGCCAGCACAATGCGCTGCTGGAGTGGCTCTATAGATAGAATTGTCCCCGTGCCAAGAATAGCTGGAACTTTTTATTAAGATGTTATCTTCCCCCAGGAATTCAAACACGAGTGGAGCAATTTTGATGTCAAGAATTTCTCCCGGTCTTATTATCGTGTAATACCTGAGGAACAAAGCGTGTTAATGGGGGATCTGCCTGCAGTCAGGCTCAGCCCTGCACGCAGCACATCCAGAGCCTTTGTGAGAGTCACAGAAAGAGCTGGAATGGTTTGAAATGCAGCTGCTGCTTCAGCTGCCAGCGCTGCCCTCGTCAGAAGCCGATTACCTGGGTGAGCTGTGCCCTTTTCATCTGCCTCAGGACAGCAGCAGCTGCTGGATTCCAGTTTCACGAGGAGAAGCCTTGCAGTGACAGATGCCTGTCCATCCTGGAGCTGTGGAGAGGGGTGACTCCCCTGGATCAGCACCGAATGTGTTGAATGGATTGATAATCTTTAAAAAAACCCTTCATTGTGCAAGATTATTACACTGATTTTCAGCTTTGGGCATTCCCTTAAATCCTGCTCACATTTGTTCACAGCAAAAGCACATCTCCCTAAGAAGGAGCAGGGGAAGATCCCATTGAAATTCCTCAGGCTCAGAATTCCAAGACCTGGGCGAGGGAAGAAGCCCAGGCTGCTCCTGTCCCTGATTTGCACTTCCCTCTGCACAGTGGATTTGCCCAGTAGATTCTATCCAATCCAGCAGATCCAATGGTGTGTGGATTTCATCCTGACTCTGGACTCTCTGATTTACTCCCGTGCTTTTATTAGGGATAAAGTGAGCATGTATAAAATGCATTAAACTCAAGTCCAGCCTGCAGCATCAGATCCGGCTACTCACAGTGAAAGTCATCCTGGAGAGTATTGGCCTGAAGAATTGATTAAAATACTTACAGGTTCATTTTCTCTGCACTTCTGAGCGACCAAAACAAGGTGAGTCACTGCAACCCCGCTGTTTCCAGGGCTGGTGGGTGCTCATCATTTAATGAGCTGATAGGCTCTCTCATGGCTCTCCTTCTTTGCACACCCAGACACCCAAACCAATCCTGAGGTGGCCCTGTCCCTCAGCTGGGAGCTCGGCAGTTCTTACAAACCCTGGGCATTCCTGAGCAATACTATGGAATACTCGAACTTTCTGTTTGTCAAGGATCACCATTCCAGCTCACAGCCCACCTCCATGACCTCCTGGCTTTGTGCTCCTGGAAGAGGTGCTGCTGCATTTTCAGAGGAGTTCTGGAGCATGGTGCTGCTGCTGCATTTCCATCCCAGAGCAGCAGCTCCCATGTCCTGTCTTTTCCCCCTGTTTTTTACACAGAGACTCTTAATTTTTGCCTCCTCGTTGTGTTCCACAGTTATCCTCAAAGAATGAAGCACCATCTCTCTGACACCTGTTCTGCTTCAAATCACTTGACTGGATCAAAAGTCGGGAGCTCCTCTTTGGCTATTGGACAGGGGAATTTCAAGATTTTGCTCAGGTTTGTGTTTCACTGGTTGGAGGTGTGGCTGCTGCGAGCAGAGCCCATGGGCTGGTTCTGGGCAGGGGCTGATCCCCCAGACCCCTCCCTAGTGTCGCTGTGTCCCTGCTCTCCAGCCAGTGGCACTTCCCAAAGTGTCTCTGAGCCGCCTGGCTGAGCTGGGATGTCCCTGAGCCCTTGGAGCTGTGTATGGCGACATCCGTGTCACCTACAGGCACCTCCTGGCTGAGAAGTATCCCAGCAGAGAACACTTGTGTGTCCCCTCCGTGTGTTTTGGGGAAGGGGGTGTTGAAGTGTGTTCCTCCACAGCTGTGAAGCACAGCCAAGTGCTCTGGGAGCACAAACCCCTGTGAGCAGAAGGGTTTGCAGCCCACACCCATCCCCATCTTCCCGTGCCGTTTGCTGGGCCCAGCCTTCAGGACAGTGGCCCTGGTCATTGCTGTCCTGGCCAGAGAGAGGAGGGACCACCAGGATCTTGCTGAGGTGGCTGCTGCCACCGTGCCAGATTTCAGCCCTTGGAACATTGCTCAAACTCTCGTTGTTGGGTTTTTCCATGGGGAAAAGTTGCTTCTACCAGAAAGCGCAGCTGCCCTGGCTCCGCAGGGGCTTTGGGGGGCTGTTGGGTGCTGTGCCTCACCCCCGGCACCCCGTGTCCCACCCCCTTGTCCCCTAGAGCCTGGGCGCCTTCAGTGCCCGGTCCCCGCTGTCACCGTCGCTGCCGATGCTGCGCGTTTGGGGGCGAAAGAGCCCTAAAGGGGTCGGGGCGAGCCCCGGGGCATGAGCCGGGTGAAGCTGCGGAGGGCGGGGGCTGCACGCGGGGGGCTCAGAGGGGAAGGGACCGTGGGAACAGTGGGATCGGAGGGAGCGGAGCCGTGGGGTCGGAGCGGCGGGATCAGCGAGAGTCCCCGCCCCGGCGGAGCGGAGGGAGCAGCGGGATCAGTGTGGAGGGAGCGGTGGGAGCAGCGGCAGCAGCAGGATCGGTGGGATCGGTGTGAGCAGCAGGAGCGGTGCAGAAGGAGCGGTGTGAGCGGTGTGACCAGCAGGAGCGGTGCGGAGGGAGCAGCAGGAGCGGTGGGAGCGGTGGGAGCAGCAGGAGCAGTGCAGCAGGAGCGGTGGGAGCGGTGGGAGCGGTGGGATCGGTGTGAGCAGCAGGAGCGGCGGGGGCCCCCGCCCCGGCGGAGCACAGCGCGCTGGGCTGCGGATGGAGGGCAGCCGCGCTTCTCCCCGGTACGGATCCATGGAATCCACCCGGTGGCCGCCGGCCGGAGCGGGGCCAGGTGAGCGCGGCGGGACCGGGACGGGACCGGCATCGCCCGAACCCAACTTCCCCCGCCTCCGGGGCTTCCGGACAATCCGGGCACCTGAGCCCCGGGAGCTGGCGGGGAATCGGCGGCTTCACCCACCAAAAGGAGCCCAGCTGGGAGTCCCCGGACCGGCATCGGCGCCGCCAGAGCCCCGCGCGGCGGCCATCGGGAGTGGGGGAGAAGGAGGGATGGATGGATGGATGGATGGATGGATGGATGGATGGATGGATGGATGGATGGATGGATGGATGGANGGATGGATGGATGGATGGATGGATGGATGGATGGATGGATGGATGGATGGATGGATGGATGGATGGATGGAAGAAGTGGCTGGGGGTGAGAAAGGAATGCGAGAAGGGACTGGGTGGGAGGAAGGGGGGCTGGAGGGGAGGAAGAGTGGCGGCAGGGGGGATGTGTGGAGGGACTCACAGGGGGAGCACGGTCACATCTCGCTGCTGCTGCCCGGCCGGACACGGCGCGGCTGCGCTGCCATGCCCGGCCCTGGGCACGGCTGTGACCGGGGCACAGCAGCGGTCGCCCTGTCCTTCATTGCCTTTGGCCCTCTCTGACCAGTTCCTGCAGTAGGACCCCGGGTAAGAAGAGCGGGAGATGCCGAGCAGGGGAATCGCCTTGAGCAGAGCCCTCGACCTTGGGCTGGGAGGAAGGGTCGCAGTGCTGGGCTGCGCGGAGGGGAGGCGCTGCAATCCCTCTGCTCTGCCACCCCTCTGACCTCTCCCCTTCCACTGCTCCCCCTCAGCCCATTGCACACAGCGGGGCAGGGACAGGCAGCTAGAGAGGAAGGGGAGGAGGGATCAGCCGACTCCAGCATCCTGCTGGGTACTGCTTGGGGTGTGTTTGGTGCCCACGAAGATGCTCAGCTCCCGGCTGAGCTGTGGGAAGTTTTGGTCCTTTTCCTTTGTGCCTCTCCTGGCAGCGTGTTTCCTCCCCCACACCTCCCGTGGGGCTCTGAGCACCTTCATCACCCGGGTCCTCTGCTCCAGCAGCTGGGTGACATCGGGATGGGCCAGGGACTGGACTCAGGGCGCTGGGTATGGCCTGGACATCCCTGTCCCTATTGCCTGTTGCTGGTGTCAGGAGCAGAGGAAAACACATAGGTGAGTTAGAGGCTTCGTGGGATGTTGCCCTCATGAAGAGTTCTGTCCCCTCCACAGATTTCCCAACTTCAATCATGAAGAAAATTGCTTGAAGCTCACCCTGCTCTGTTGGCTGCGGTGACTCATCCCAGGCTTGCTGCTGGCTGTCCAAATTATTTCCCCAAACCATCAGAAATGGAAGCCTCTGGCTATTACACTCATTAGTGGAGGCCCCTCCCTGGGGCCTGATTAGAGCGTCTCCAAATTTCTGTCAAAGCTTTCTCTCCCTCCTTGGTTTGCCAGGCTGAAATGGTGCCAGGCAGGATCCCTTTGGCTCAGGCACTGTGGAGTTTTCTGTGCGTGAGGGTGGGGGGGGGAGGGGGACGGTTCTGTGCATGGCTGTGCTGGTGTGGGAGAGCTGTGGGAACAGAGGGATCCCTGGGCAGTGTGGCCACACATGGGGCCATCCCTGTCTGTCCCCAAAGAGGGATTTGGATTGTGGGCTTGATCCCAGCTTTAATGAATACCCTGCCTTGGGTGTCCCCTTCTCCAGGTGCTCCCTCCCGGGGTTTGTGGGCTTCATTTTCCGGGAGTTTTTCTCCTGGCACTGCCCTCCCTCTGCTCTTGCTCTGAATTCAGCAGCTCCAGGGACACGAAGGTCCTGTCAGAGCTTCTTGTCCAGCACCGACTGCTTTGGAGAGTAGTTCCCTGGAATTCCTGAGGGATGCAGAGTACCAGGACATGACCACAGCACCTGAAGGCACAGCCAAGGGCTGGCACCCTCCAGCTGAGCCCTGCAGCCCTGGCTGGGCTGTGCCGTGACCTTCACACTGTCCCCATGTCACAGGACACTCCTGACCTGGCGAGTGTCCAACAGAAGGGTGACTTCAGAGCAGTGTGTGAGAGCAGAGTGGTGTCAGCCACACCTGATGGGAGCCATCCCATAGCCGAGCCAGGAGCTTTCCTGCTCTTGTAGGCACTGCCCGGGGGCTGGAATGACATCCCAGTCTCCTGCTGCAGGTGAGGGAAAGCAACTCAGCCCTGCCATCTCCTCCCCTCCCAGCCCTGCCACCTCCTTCCCTCCCAGCACTGTCACTCCTCCCCTCCCAGCGTTGTCACCCCCTCCCTTTGCCTACACAGGCGAGGAGTCACCTCTCCCGCCTGGAATGGTTGTGCCGATGACATCCTGGGATGAGAGGGAGAGGAAGGGATGCTGACAGAGGTTCCAAACCCTGGCAATCCCCCCTGGGAAATACCTGGCTGAGAACTTCAGCCCAGCAGGGATCAGAGACATTCCGGATTATTCCCCAGCCGGGCACGCCAGGAGTGGTTGTCCCCCTCCCCAGACCCGCCCCCGCGCCCCCGGGACTGGTTGGTGTCCCTGGGGACGGAGGCTGCAGGAAGCTCTGCGTTTATCTGTCTCTGTGTTTATTGGCACATCGGGACAGCCACCAGCCTTGTAACCTCCACCTGGGCACAGAGGGGACCCAGCAATGCAGCTTTTGGTGACAGCTCTGGGGCTGAGCTGAGGCACAGTGGCTGCCTACAGGCACATCCCAGCTCTGCCACCTGCCCCTCCAGCTGTGCTGGTACCTGCACATCTGCCAGCATCTGCCGCGGGCCTCTGGGGCCATCCCCAGCTGCTCAGCTAGGGCAGTTGCAGCAAAATATCCCAGGCCAGAGGAACTTTGGGGTAGCAGAGCCCCAGAATGCTCGGAATGAGGGACCTCAGCATCCTGGTCCCCTAGCAACCGCACTCTGGTCCCTTAGCAACCGCATCGTGATGCTGTAACAGCCACAGGCCGATCCCTTGGCAACGAGGCAAAAGGAGGGGGTTGTGCAGAGCTGCTGGAGGGCTCATCCAGCCTCACACCCTGCCCAGCCCAGGGGTCCGTCTGTCCTGGCTCCTGGGAGCATCCTGAGGCTCCGAACAGGGAATGAGGGAGGAGCCACGCCCAGGCATCAGCTGAGCTTGACCTTCCCGCCTGGGGAGAGGGAGACAACCTCCGAGAAATCCTCATGAGTTTCCAAGCCAGAAAAAGCAGAAAACTCTTCAAACCACTCACACGAATCCAAATCATGGGATTTCCACAATAAACCTTCCCTGCTGGAAGTCTTGGAAGTACATCTCACTCTGGGAATGGTTTCCCCAGCAGTATTACATGATGGGGAGAGGACAGAGAGTACAGAGTGTTTGGTTCTTGTGCCTTAGAGGTTGTCTCTTCCTGCCCTGTAACCCTCAGCACTGGCCTGGCTCCTGCCTGGAATGCCTAGACCACACACTGTGACATCTCCCAACACCCCTGCCTGGAAAATCCTGCTCCTGGACCAGCTCCATAGCTGAACTCTCCCTGCATGGGGAAAGCCCCAGGGCTGCAGGAAGGCAGAACCTCAGAGGGAGATATGTCCTGGGAAGGTTCAAAGGAAGCAGACTTAGCCCCTGGTGTGGTGTTTGGAAGGGTTTGGAATATTCTCCCACAGCCTGGCTCTGCTGCAGCCCCTGTCCCCAGCACAGGGAATGGTGGATTATCTGGGATGTGATGGAGGTGCTGCTGCCTGGCACTGGTGACAGGCTGAGTGTCGTGTCTGAGAGCCAGACCAGGCTGGGAGCTGGCCTGGAGCAAATCCTCAGCTATTTCCACAACATTGGGAGTCACTGTGGTATCCACACAGCACCCACGAGGAAATCCATGGGACAGCCGGGAACAAACGAGTGGGATTTGTGTGAGTCACAGAGGGGAGGCAGAGCTGCTGGCCAGAGCTACGGACAGAGGATGTCGGGCTTTCATCCTTTCCATCCCTCTAAAATAGAAATTACAGCCCCTTTTTCCCACATTTCACTGCGAAGCTCCTGCCTCTCACCCTGAGCAGGTGACCCCCCTTTGCCTGCCTCAGTTTCCCCAGGTGGGGGCTGCAGAGGATGAGGGAGCTAGTCAGGGGGGCTCCACCCAGTGGGCTGGGAAGGATGGAAGGGTGTTCATCCAGCGTCTGATGGGGGGGGGAGAGCAGAAGGAATTTCACCCCTGTGACTCCTCAGCTCTGAGCTTTGCTGCTCTGGCTCATGCAGGAGGAGGGTGCTGGGCAGGCTCAGGTCTCTGTGCTGGACATGCTGGAGGCTTCCATGGCTCTGGAAAAAGTAAGGGACATTCCCATCCCTCCCTCATGCAGTTTCCAGCTCCCTTGGCCTCCTGCTGCTCGGAGAGGGGGAGACTCCTGGGAATGTGGGGCTTTCTCCCAGCACAGAGCCCGGAATGGTGCTGGGAGCAGGGGAAGTGCTGCTCTTCCCAAGGCTGCCCTGAGGTCCCTCCTGGTCTCCTGCTGCCTCAGGTGGCTCCCATTCATTTTTCCAGAGGCCGAGATCGTGTCCATGGCCGACTCCACCACCACCGTCGATGACATCGAGGGAGAGCTCTTCAGGATCGAGCGGATCCGGGAGATCCTGGTGCGCAGGGAATCAGAGCTGCGCTACATGTGAGTCCCTGTCCCCCTCCTGCACTGCTCCCCTCCCAGGACACCCCAGCATCTCCTCCTGCCCAGCCGAGCCCAGCTCAGCCCCTGAGGCTGCTTCCCGCCTTGCTTCCCTTTCAATAATCAAGTAAGTTTTGGAATGAAATTTTCCAGGCCTTTCAGACCTGTGTTGCAATGGTGCCCACCAGCACCTGGGGGGATATAGGATGATTTCCATGGATCTGTCAGGAGATTTCACGTGTTTGGAGGAAAAGGCCTGACTAGTTATCCACCGTTTGGGTTAATTAAGTTTTGCAATATCGCTAAAGGGCTGTAATGAGCCCAGCCCTCAGATCCCACCCTGCCAGCCCAGCACAAACTGGGATTTTTGCAAAGGTGGCATTCCCTGGGCTGAAGCACCTCCTGTGCTGCCTTTTGGGTGTGATGGTCCCCAATGGTTCCTGCACTGAGGGACCTGCAGCCTGGCAATCCCTGTGTGAATCCCGTGTGAGTGGGAGCTTGGAGCTGCTTCAGAGGCTCGGATTTGGAGCCCCTTCAAGGCACAGTTCCCCCTGAACTCGTTGTTGAAAAGGATTTTTTGGGAGCCATCAAAAGCTCTTGAAGGCTTTCCATGGCAACAGTACCTGATTCTCTCAGGTGCTGTCAAAGCTCCCAGCTGCTGTGTTTCCTTAACCCTTTGTTTGGTGTCGCCCTTGAAAACCAGAGGGAAATCTCCTGCAGAAACCTCAGGGTGGGCTTGGCTGCAAAAACCATCCCGTGGGTGTGGGGACATTCCAGGATTGCCTGGATGGGAGGTTTTGGGTGCTGTGGGAACTCGATCTCAGCTCTGCAGGGCCCAGAAGTGAGGCTGGGAAGGCTGAGGACCTTCCTGGGACGCTGCTGCTGGAGAAGGGGCTCTGGAGGACAGACTTAGAGAGGTGGGAAACAGGGGCTGCAGGACCTTTTTTGATTCCCTAGTGGGAAGAAAGGTGATGTTCAGGGTGGTTGCACTGCGGGGCTCAGGGAAATGGAAAACTCCCGGGATGTGCAGCTGAACAGAGCAGTGACCTCGATAAAAAACAGTGTTTGCTCCTTGTTGGAAATGTCAGACTAAAACATTCCAACATTTCTGAGGTGTCTGTGCTCTGCAAAACAGCGAGGCACCGAACATTTCTCCTTTACAGGGCAAAAGGAAAGGTCTGGATTTCCAGTGGGAGGTTCAGCTCCACCCTGGTCCCTCAATGCTCCCTGGGGACAGCCAGGGATACCCGGCTTTGGGTGATGCTGCCACAAGTGTCAGCAGCAGGGCTGTCACCAGCAGGGATAGAAGCAATCCCAGCCACATCAGGAGCCTCTTGTGTGCTTGTCCCTGCAACCTCTCCTAATTTTAATTGAAAAGAGAATTTATTATCTTTTATTCTCCCTATCAGTTTTCCAGAATTAATTTCCATTAAAATGCAACAATCATCCAACTCTAGTCTGAGTGTTCATTTTCATTTTAATCACCGTGTCCCCAGCAATCTCTGCTGTCCCTGTGGCCCCCCCTGGTGCTCTGCACACCCTCTCTGTTACATTTCATGTTTCTACCTTTATTTAACTCTGCAGGAAGGCAAGATAAAAAAGATCTTTTCCTATGGCAGCAGCTTCCACTTCGTTCTTGCTTTTGCTCTTTGGAGATTCTTTTCTTGGACCAGGAGAAACACAGCAACTCTTGCCTGGTGGATGAGCCAGGTTTTGATAAGGCTTTGTTATCATTAAGGTGATGAAACTTTCTCTCTGCCAACAGCCAGCGCCCCAAGAAAACTCTGGGGTGAAGTGGGCTGGCATTTCCCATGGGAAGGCAGGGAAATCTGGGATCTCCACCACAGGCACTGGCTGGGTGTTACTCTGGGGGTTTTTAACCTCTTCTCTCCCAGTTTTCCCCCTCAGAGGTTCCATTTGTGTCTTGGCAGGATGGACGACATCCAGCTTTGTAAGGAAATCAGCCGGCTGAAAACAGAGCTCCAGAAACTCCTGGTCCTGCCAGGTAAGGCTTTGGGCCAGCTCCATGTGGGTGCTGCATTCCCTGAAGGTTCTGCACTCCCTGAGAGTTCTGCACTCCTGAGGATGCTGCAAACCCCAGAGTTCTGCACTCCCTGAAGGTTCTGCACTCTCTGAAGATGCTGCAAACGCCAGGGTGCTGCACTCCCCAAGGGTTCTGCACTCCCTGAGCGTTCTGCGCTTCCAAAGAGTTCTGCACTCCTCAAGGGTTCTGCGCTCCCCGGGCCCAGTGGAGGTGTGGCAGGGCAGATGGGGGCAGGCAGGGCACAGCTGTGCCCGGGGCTATCCCAGAGCCCAGTGTGGGCCTGTCAGGTGCCACCGTGCTGCCTGTGCCTGGGAACCTTCAGCACGGAGGCAGAGCCCAGGTGCTGCTTAATATTCAGGTGCTGCTCGCTTCAATAAACCTGGCTCAGCATCCAGATGGAGACCCAGCCGGGAAGAGGAACATCCTGCCATAAAAACAAGAGCTCCTTGCAAAACAGACCCAAATCTCATGGGGGCTTTTAATTCTAACACCTTCCAGTTCATTATCCAAGACTTCCCCTAAACCATGGCTCAGAGCAGAGATAAATTGTTTTTTTCTGCTACTGGAGAAATGAGCCTGACTTTCCTTCATCTGATTTGGGCTTTAATTTCTTGCCTTTTCAGCACTCCCAGACTCAGCTGAGAGCAGACATTCTGCTCTTTTTGTCGTCTTTATAAGTTGACTCAGACCGGTCTGTGCTGGAAAAATCCTGCACATGCCCATTCTTGTGAGACAGCCACAGCAGCCTTCGGTTTGGATAAAGACAGGAACACGTCAGTGCTTACTCAGAGCCCAGCCGGGGCTGGGGCTTGAAATGTCCCCAGCCAAGGTGCCTTTAATGATTCAGATCATCACCACGGTCATGATGGGCTCTGACATCAGCCGGGGGGAGAAAGGGGCAGTGTTTGTCCAGTGGGACCTTCACCCTGACAGGTTCTTCCTCAGGATTGCAGGTTGTTCATTAACTGCGGATAGCCAGTGTTAATTAACCCCAAAGAGCAGGTGCTTGGGCACAGCCTGATGCTCCCCTTTGGTGTGGCAGCCAAATGACACTTGAAGTGGTCCTGTGCCAGCAAGCAGGTGGAGATGGCTCAGAGACTGTGCCCAAGCGACTCTGCACTAATTCAGGGGGTGGAAGAGCCCCAGGAGAGCTGTCGCCTCCAGCCAGGGTGGTTGTTCCTGCTCGTTGAGCAGCCAGAGCCTGGATCCAGCTGCTTCCTTTGGGTTGGCTTTGCCCCCATGCTCAGAATTGAGCAGAACAGAGCAGGCCTGGCCTTGGCCGGGGTAGGTGGCCCCTTGGGGGTGTGAAATGTGCTCTCTGTGCTGCAGAGAACCAGAAATCCAATGAGGAGAGGCAGAGGGAAGAGGAGCTGGTGCAGCAGATCCACAAGCTGGTGGAAACGCGGGATTTCCTGGTGGATGACGTGGAGTTTGAGAGGCTCAGGTAGTTGGTGTCACCTATTGCTTGTGCTAGGGACAGTGCAGGACTGTGTCCTGCCTTCCCAGAGCTCTTGGGGGCCTTGCTGCTCCTTTCCCAAGCAGTAACTGAGTTCTTTGTCACAGGGAAAGGGAAGAAGACAAGGAAATGGCCGAGTTCCTGCAGAGCAAGCTCTCCAAAAGCTACCTCCAGAGAGCAAGTGGGTGCTGATGGGGTTTACTCCTTGCACTGAAACTCCCTGGCCTTTGTCCCCTTTCCCAAGCATTCTGCCTCAAAGATTTTACTGCCTGGGACTGGCTTACCTGGAGGAGAGTGGGGAAATGGAAGGGGGGGATGCTGGTGCTTGAGGTCACATGGTGGGAATACCTGGAATTGGAACAGATGTTCAGAATCCCTTTCCCTCCTGACATTTCCCACCACAGCCTATGAGAATGGGGCGGGGGAGGGGCTCTCTTAGAGCTGACAGACTTCATCTGGCCCTTTAACACTGCCTCACACCTCAGGTGGTTGGAGGATGGACACCACATCCTTGGATGACAGCCACCCCCTTTCCTGGGCTCTGTCACCTCCCCAGGGTGCTGGGAGACATTCCCAGAGCACCCAGGGCAGGGCCCTCATGGTGCAGGAGCTCTGAGGGGGTCAGCAGCAGTCCCAGAGGAGCTCTGAGCACCAGCTCCAGGCTGTGCCCTGGTCCCCAGGCAGAGCCGGATTCCCCTTCCCGCAGCTCCTGTCCGAGAGAAGAAGATGACATCGAGGGGACAGCAAACCTCGGCTCCCTACATGAGCAAGACAGGCCTGACCCTGCTCAAGGAGTGCTGTGGCTTCACCTGCTCCATCATGTAGGGCATTGCCAGCCCCTGGCACAGGACACGGCTGTGATAGGAGCACATCCTGGGAACCTGGGATGGACTGATCCTGTCCTGGAGCTGATCCCGTCCTGGAGCTGATCCCATCCTGGAGCCGATCCCATCCTGGAGCTGATCCCATCCTGGAGCCGATCCCATCCTGGAGCTGATTCCATCCTGGAGCCGATTCCATCCTGGAGCTGATCCCGTCCTGGAGCTGATCCCGTCCTGGAGCCGATCCCATCCTGGAGCCGATTCCATCCTGGAGCTGATTCCATCCTGGAGCCGATTCCATCCTGGACCCAATCCCATCTTGGGCCACTCCTTCCCTGCTCCTCCAGAGACTCTCCAGGCTGATTTGCTTGGCCCACAGGATTTGCTTTACCCACACACCCCAAAGGCTCCTCTCTGTCCTGCCTTCCCAGGGCCTTACTGGGATAGCGAGTGACACAGGCAGTGAGTTTGGTCAGGCTGAGGGAGCCAGAGGCCAGGAAGAGCCCTGGGTTCCAGACTTGGAGCCAGCCTGGGCTGGAGGCAGAGCTGGTGCAGGCAGGAGGATGGGCAGGGTCTGTGTGTGTCCCACCTGTGGCCCTGAAGCTGCTCCTGGAGAAGGCTCAGGCTGCTCCCCTGGGCACGTGGAGCTGCTGGAAGTGCTGGGAAAGGTGCCCAGCCCACAGGAGTGACACTGCTTCATGTGCATTGATCCAAACCAATAAATGTCTGGTGGAATCTCCCTAGGTGTTTTCCCGACCTGGGACCTTTTTAGGTGATGGCTCCTGCAACACAGCAGGATGGGTAAAGAGGAACAGAAACCTGATCCTAAACAGTCAGGCTGGGCTTTGGAGTTCCCTGGAGTGGCCAGAGCAGCTCCTGCTGCTGCAGCAAGACCCCCAACCCTTCCATTTCTGGCTCTGAGTGTCCTCCACTGGCCCCTGGGGACAGCCATGTTCCCAACTGTCCCTCACAGGGCAGGGGACAGCCATGTCCCCAACCATCCCTCACAGACCAGG